CGATAATCACAAAGGACCTTACTCCTACTCTGTGTAAAGGTAGGTGAAGGGGTAGTGTTGAATGCTGCATCACCTGCTTACAGTGGGATGTGATAAAGAAGGAATTTGGACTTTGTACCTTTCCGGTTTAAAGTCAAATCGCTAATGCTTCCTGTGCAGGAGGCTGTTTTGCTATGCAGTTTAGTAGGTGACAAATTTAATAGGAAATTATTAAGAAAAAGCAAAGAGTGTTGATAAGGGTTTTATTCTTCAAGGCTTTTGATAATTTGTTTCCAGAAAATAATACAATCTTTAAGGAATTTATATGCATCTTCAGCCTCCGTCAAGGCTGCTGCAGAATTTCCTGTTTTTGTGTTCTCAGAACTGCTAAACTGCTGAAGTTGCCAGTAAAGACCTGGGTGTGTTATCCAGAAGAGGTGGAGTCTATAGCAAATCCAGATTCTTCACTGATATTCTCAAATGCGTATACTGAAGTCAGACCTATTCCATCTCTTAACCTCACAAATGGGGTCAGTTCCCAGAGCCACAACTCATCTGTGCACTAACTGTTTCTGTTTATCTTCTGTTGTGCTATCTTTTCTATGTATGAAACCATGGATTTTGTTGCATAAGTCACCTCAAAGCCAGCTGTAAACATTTACATATAAAAAGGTATTAAGGTAGTCTTAAGACATGTTGTGAGCCCTGGGTGCAGAGCTGGCAATGTGACACACACAAACCCTGGAAGCAGCTTTGTTATTCCCTTAGATGTCAGATTGTGGTCTCAGTGTGAGCAGACTGACCCCTCGTCTCCTAAAGCAAAGAATCTTGTACTTACAAAGGGCAAGATCCTAATCAGATTTCCAACTGGAAAGCTGCTCCAGCTTAACACCAGGCTGAGGGTAGACACAGGTCTGGCATGGTCAACAGGGAGAAAGTCTGTACTTTCTAGATACCCTCAGAGGTGTTTACCACTTTGCAAACCTCCCTGGGAATGCAAATACAGCGTGATCGATGGATGCACACAATTCAAGAGAACAAATGCTTTCAGCAGACAGGTGGCCCAACAGGAACCTCCTAAGATCCTATTATGCAGGAACAAGAGTCTAATTATGATATTTTCAGGCATATATTCTGCAGGAGTTGGGACCCGCAGAAACTCCTCGGCAGTCCCCCTGCTTTGGCCGGGGCAGGAGCGGCGGGGGGAGGAGGCCGAGGGGACTTGAAAGCATGTGGAGCAGGTCATGGGGCACCGAGGTGTGGTGCCTGCCCACACAAACAGCCGGCACTGCTCTGGCCACCAGCCTTCAAAGCAACACTTCAGCCCCCACAGGTCACATGCAGCCGGGTCTCTTTCTTTCTGCGACCCGCCAAGTAAGTCCTTACACTTTGTGGCCATTTTGCAGACACCAACAGGCCCCGTCCCAGCACTCCCAACAGAGAAAAGCCCGGCGGGGTCACGGCAGCCATCACAAACCTACTGTCCCCGAGCACAGACACGGGCCAGGCCTGGCCCTCAGCACTGCCTCAGTTTCCCTCCATCCCCTAAAATGGGTGGGGTGGGGCGTGTGTGTGACAACTCTGCCAGTCCCCCTCCCCACCTTGGGGACAGGGACAGGCGACTTCGGGCCAGGTGGTCGGCTGGATGTGGAGACAGGCCTGGCCATGGAGACGGGCCTGGCGATGGAGACAGGCCGGGTCACGGAGCCAGGCCTGGCCAGGCCTTGCTGCAGCTGCTCTGGCCGTGGCCTCCAACGGGGCCCCCTCGGAGACACCCCCTCTGAGGCACGCACGAGACAACCAGTGGACAGGGCAGGCCAAAAAACCACCAGGCTTTTGGGGTTCCTTTTTAGGCGAGGGTCTGTAGACAATGCTTACACCAAATAAATAATAGCTGCTAAAGTGCAATTACCTGTCTTGTGTGTGCTGGTAATTAGCTGCTGGTTATGCGCAGAATTAATGGGCAGACTGCTTAATACCGGAAATCACACTGTTCTACTTGGGCTGTGCATTGTAAGAGTCAGGGCAGGGCTGTTTTGCCAGGAGTTACCTATAAAAACCTTCTTGAAATGCAGTGGAGTGAAACACCTGGACAGCTTCCAGAGAAGAACAATTGAGCTCAGATATACTTTCGTGGGAGACAATTTGCTTTCAGGTTACGAAAACCTGCGGCACCCAACCTGCTGCAAAGCTGCTCGCTTCTCCGTGCTTTGATGGCGAGCCTGGCTCACTGAGGGCTCATCCTGGAGACAGCGGGACATGTGGGGCAGAGCCCTGAACCTCACCCAGGAACATGCTCTTTTATGGAGCAGGGGGAATAAACATGTCTGTTGGAGGGAAGCATTTCTTATACAAAAAGTAGCAATTTTAATCCATTCCCTGGGATTTTTATATTTATGAGCTTGCATTAGCTTCTTAAAATTCTTCTGAAATGCCTATATGAAACACTTTAAGATCCTTGAAGCAGTCTGATCTGCTTCAGTTCCCCTCAAAAGATACTATGCATAAAACCAGAGCTTATTTGTTGACAACAGAGTCTAAATGCAATGTATTGCTTTGGCTGCTCTTTTCCTTTGTCTTGGATTGCAGCCTCTTCCAAAGCTTTGATTTCCAAATGACTTGTTAAGCTTTACTGGGCCTGAACATAAAAGCTGTACTTTTATGTTTCTTATATGGCATGTGGAATGCGGAAGCTCAACTTAACTGTGGATGCATCTCTTAAGACCTTTCTTCCTCTTGGGGCTCCATGTGTTGCTGCTTTATGAGAAGGCTGACTTGCTTCTTCAAAGCTTGTGTTGTTCCTCTTATCAGAGAGGAATCACACAAAATGGGGAATTTCTGCATGGGAGGCAGTGCCAACACTAACCGTTATTTCATCTGCAATAATAGCTCAGTGGCATAAGGGGCATCTGCAGCCAAACTTACTGTTTTTCTTGTTTTTCTGCCAAGAGGATTTCCTGATTCCTGAAATTAGTCCCATTGCCAAGTGATACGGTCAAATCACATGGTCAGCAGTCCTAATTGCCTTGGGAATACAGACTTCAATCAACGCAGACCTGCTCCTAAAGTGTGGACTAAGGAAGAGTTGTTCTCTTCCACAGAAGGCCTGCTCTGTCCATAATATAATATTAATATCTATGCCGTCTAGAATATAATAATATATAGATACAGTCTAGAATATAATTAATTAGCCAGAGCATATTTTTATTTGAAAATTGCTTAAATACTACTCTAATACGGAGGCAATAACAGCAGTATGAAGTCACCAAATAGCATGATAGCTTATTCCTCTTTTCTGATAACACTCACTATGCTGACATCTGGCACTTTATACCAGCATGTAACCATGGTGGTTGTCTCACTGTATGTATCTTTATATGCATTGACTTAATTAAAGCTGTATATTCTTGCAGTGTAGACAAAGCCTAAAACTTTTGTGGAACAAAGCTGGATATAACAAACCAAATTCTTCTCTCATTCTACCATAAATGGGGATGCACAGAAGCCACCAGTCCTGCACAGATGTAGAAGTAGGTCGTTGCGAATCAGGTTTGAAATCTGTAAGCAGTCACTCTTGATTGATATCACTTTATATGGCATCAAAGGCCCATTGTGCTAGGGAGGAGAACAGAAAGTACTATTATAACTAAAGGACCTTTTGTCTGTGCTGTCTGCGCATAGAACCACCGGCAAGTTTTGGTCGTCCGCTGCAAGTTCACAGGTTTGCAGAGGCCAGTGCAAAAATACCACCTACCTACAATGGCTCGTATGGAGAAACAAGGCTCTTTTACCTCTGTCTTCTATAACTAGTTAGAAATGTAATTCTGCAGATTTTACAGAATTCTCACTTGATTTCCAGTTGTAATCCTTACTCAGATAAAGAATGACAGCTATTAACTTCACAGGCAGGGTTTTTATGTGTTGATTTATGCCTTAACACCACATCAATCTGCAGAAAACAAGGATGTAAATAACAAACTTTGTTTTAAGATTAAAGCAGCAAATTATTTTTTTGAAAGGATAAGTATTCATTTATTTAATCATAAGGAGGTCAAAATATACAGTACTGTGTCATTCAGATGCTAGTGTGGATTAAAATGTCAGGCCCACGGTTCCCTGTCCAGGTTAGCCCAGGGTTGAATAAACCACAGGAATCTTAATTTTCTGTAAAATTTATTAACTACAGTTATTACAGGAGTCTTGTGAAGCAGGGAGGTGCCTGGATTTTGGTTTTTATTAGGATTAATTACAAGTGTGGATATAAACAAATATCTGATGAAACAACTAAGTTTCCTATCATCTGGAAAACATTAATAACAGGATTGTAGGTACAGCCTTGGAGTTAGGACTACGATGGGGACGCGGGTGCCCCCTTGTGTTCCTATTAGAACCTTAAATAGTTTTTAATTTGTTATCCCACCTCACCAAGACAAGAGACGTTGTCTCAATCATATAAAGCCTTTGCATTTTAGCGTTTTAATTTACATTAATAACCAATATGAAGCATAACTTTATAACCACTGATTCTATTATACTGCAGACTTTTTGCTAATTTCAGCTCTATTGAAAACCACAAAAGGTGACTTGGTTGTTTTTACATTTAAGTATAACATTTATCAAACGAGATTTTTTTTTTCCTGGCTGCTTTAAAGCTCTCTGAAGCTGAGGATTTGTTGCTCATGCCTTGCTGCACAAACTGCATTCCTTTGTCACGTGCATTTTTTTCTGCCATTTATTTAATTCACTGCCACTTTCTTACCTTACATGCTCTACCCTCTATAGACTTAAAATCATCCACATGACCTTTCTTTAAATATACTACACATTGCTTGATGATCTTTAGAGTTGCTTTCTAACATCTAATGAACAAACCCTGTAAATGATATACCTTAAATGATACACCAATGTTTGCTTTAGCCTCAGGCATTTGATGAGAGCCATGTAAAGGAAAATAATGAGTCATCTCTACTGCAAGGGAGCTTACAGAGAGCTGCTGATCCTTCAGCAGCCACGTGTATTCATTACTTGGATTTCCCAGCAGGTAGGATAGACACTGGATCTGTTTGCACTTCTGCATCAGACATCCTTTTGGAGCCCTGTGGAATAAGATAGAGAAATTTATAAAAATTTTCAAATATTTCAGAACAGTTAAGGTTTGGATTATGTGTTAGAGCTTGCTAGCAGATATTTTCCACTCATTTCACCTCTCTGCTTTTCTTAATTTGCCTTTTATTTAATATGCATAAGTATATGAGCACCATCTGCATCATGACAACCCCAGAAAGCTGCTGCCTGCGACTTTGCCTAAACGTGTTGGCTATTTTAATATAACTTTCCCAGTCAGTGTAGAAAGCAATTGTCTTTAGAAACTGGACTAACGTACCAGAGACATGTTGCTGTGTACTTGTAGTATTGTAGTTTTGGCATAACTTTCTCTAAAATTTCCCTGGCCTAAATGGTTCACTGAAACCATGCTAAGAGTCCTTCAAGCATGATTAATAGTGTATTATAGCCATCCTTGGTCTGCCCTAAGTTAAAGGAACATTAAATACTTTCATGCATGACAGGTATTTTACAATGTTAGAGTGATAAAGCTTTTTTACACTACAGATATAATTCTGGTTTTGGAACCAGTTCAAGACACTAATCTGGCTTAGATGAAGGAAATGTATAGATCTAGCTATACCGACTAAATTTTTGACCAGTAATTGATAAAAACTTGGCCTTAGTTTAAGATGCCTTGCCCTAATTTTACTGGCCTTGAAGCCATCGAAACTTCAGAACATGACAGCAAAATGGATCCACAAACACTGTTTCAGAGGTCACTGTTTACATTGTGTAGGATGCCAATCCTGTTTGTAGCCAGATGCCTAAACCATTACATGCTAAACAGAAAAACAGCATGACAAAGCTAAAGGTGACTGCTTTGTGCTTTCCTTACAATAGGAACTGTGCAAAATCACATGCAAATTTTCCTTTCACACAGTAGTTTCACACTGGAAACCTGACTCATCACTTCAGGTGACCATAGGACTATTCTGTCAGACCGGGAGAGTGAAAGATCTCAACTTCCTCATCCCTTTCAGGGAAGTAAAAACAGTGGGCCTTTTATACTGATTAGACTCCATCTCACTGATACTCTTTTAACTTTTCACCTTTGAAAACCTAAGTATAAAAAACAGCAGCCAAAAATCACAATGGACTAAAAGAATTCCCTGTCTTAAACTAACTGTAATCTTGTGCAGCTCAACTGGCTGCAATGGGTGCTTGCTTACACAATGTTGAGTTTGGAAGGTGCTCTAGAACAGAATAAATTTTTTTTGCCACTTATATGTAGCAGCAAATGGAAGACACATAAAAAAATGTGCTACGTTCCAATATCCATTGAACAATAGCAAATGAGCTAGTCATTCCAAATTTGTCCAGCAACCCTAAAAACCTACACATCAGCTAAAAGTTTTTCCACGTTACAAGAGTAATGAAGTCTGTCAACTGTAGCTGTTCCTGTCTAATGCATGAAGATATTAAGCCATGATCTAGGAAACAAGATGATACTAATTTGCTGTTCTTCCTATAAATGGGTGGAGGGAGGAGTAGAGGAGGGGGAGCTTGTTTGAGGTAATCCCAATTTTGACTCATTTAGCAGATTTGCAGAAGTATCATGTTATTTTCTTACACTACAGTCTCCCTGCTGCACCCATTTTCAAGGTGGTTGCTGATTAAAGCAGGAAGCTTTGAGGGAGACTGGCTGATGATTCTTGTTAAACTGGAATTTCCAAGCCCAGTCTGAAATAAAGAACTTTGTTCCTGCCCTTTTAACGGACAAATTCCAGCTCTGCCCTCAGATTCAGAAGCACAGGTACCACCGGCTCAGGTCTTGCTCTCAGTTACTTTGCATAATCCCTTTCAGTGCCGTGGAAGTTGCCTGCATTTGTGACAGCTAAGCTGGAACATATTATTTTGGGCAGAGCACTTTAAAGTGCACACACAGGAATGTCATGGTATTGGAGTATATTTTTTTCCAGCTTGTGCTCAGGAGAAGTTTGTGTCAGTATACCAGATACTCTGATCAGAATAGGTCAGAATAGTTTCCACATGCTAAGCACTCCCAGCTTCTGACAACTTCAGTATGAGTTATTCCAGCTCAGAAAACAATGTCATTAATCTTCTGGGCTTTTTTTTTCTTTGTAATCTAATCTTTCTAAGACTCACTGAATACCTTTGCATTTTATATAGCTTATAAATTAATCTCTTTTACCATAGGAACAGCTACTGGACCTTATCGTCTGTGCTAAAACCAGGCAGCTGGGCCATAACACTGTTTGCTTGCATAAGTGGCTCCATTTCTATCAAAAGTTTCAGTATTTGTTAGCCCAACTGGGAGCAGATGCTTGAACTGAGTTGTTCTCATCAGCTGCATTCCTACACTATGACATCCTCTAACTCTGTGCCCTTTCCCAGAGGAATCGATGGATTCAGGAGAGAGTGGTGTTAAAATAGCTGCTATTGAAATAGCTCACCAGAATTTAGGAGGAGCTTGGTGGGCACAGATTACATGAGCAAGTAAGACCTGGTGGATCCCCTCTTAAATATCTCCTGTTTCCATTTTATCAGCATAAAGCTTAATACTTCTGCTGAGTTATTACCAGATATTTGAGCTGGTATCTTGAAAGGGAAATTCTGGCATTGGTTTGTGTGTGATCTAATACTTTTAGATTAATGATTACACCTTCCTGGGACTCTGAGCACGTCTAGGAGATGTGTAGATTATTTTTTAGAAGCATTACAGAATTAAGTTTCTTAGGTGTGGGTAATCTTCTTGGGGATATTAAAAAAGAGGTAGTCATTTTCTGTGAGATATTTTCCATACACAGACCTCATTGTTGTGGGTTTGTTCCCCCCCCCCCCCCCCCAGTTCAAAAGCACAATAAACTGACCAAATCAGCTATACTGTTATCAAAAACAAAACTTTTTTTTTTTAAAGGTGCCATCTTTTGTTAGTGGGAGAGGGAAGCTATAGGAATACTATTGGCCTCTATAATTGCAATAGAAGATAAGGGACTACACAGCCAAACTGTCTGGCATACTACTTGAGCAAGCAAAAATATCTCGCAGAACGTCTCTACTTCCTCTACCTTTATTCTGCATTTTTTTCCCCAAATGGTCTTTTTACCTCTTCACAATCTCCTCTCCTGATCAAAAAGCTTTTTCTTGCCCTTTGAATGAGAGACACCTTTCCTGCCTCTCTCTGTGTCTTTCATGATCTTGCACTTGAAAGCATGTTTCCTTGCTAGCTTGCACTTCCTCATATCTCCCTTTCTGGAATAATTCTAAATTTGTATCTATTGTTAAAATCTGTGAAAGATTTTTGGATACAGCTTGGATGAATGACACCATACAAAATAGAGTGCAATTGTCAACAGACAAACCCTTTCTCACACAGTGGCTACAGTGAGAATTTTGACAAAGGAGGGCTGTTAGTGCCTAATTTCAACAAATCTCCAGACCAGAAAAATAAATCTCAATTATCTCCAGAAATAATAGAGGTAGTTAACATTTGCCCCATTTCTAGATAACCTATGCCAGAAAAATGTGGCTGTCTTCCTCCCCTTCAGTTGATGCAAGAGATCTGTTACCACCATCTAAGTGGTTTAAGTAACAGAACTCCTGATTTCACTGCTGGGGGGAGGTTGCCAATACCCAGAGCAGGATACGACACCTACACACCATGCTTGTGAGCGTGGATCAGACGTTACACACATGCACCGACGTTGTGCACAATGGAAATCGCATACAGAATTTGGAGGCAAAGGGGGTGAGGGAGGAAAGAAAAGTGCATGTGAGCATGCATGTGTTTGATAACTTCAATCAGCTAGTATAATTCACAGATACATATAAAACAATACCCTGGCTTTTTCACATTGTGCTAGGCAAAAAGATTTCTCCTCTTGACTTCACTGGGAGCCAAGATGAGTGGAAGCCAATGCAAGTTGGTAGTTACTCCGGGTGAGCTCCAGGACTTCCTTGCTCCGTTGAAACTACAGGAAAATCCCACTGACTCACAGCGAACCAGGATTTTACTCCAGAACAATGGGGTGAAACAGAAAGCAGAAGTGGCTGAACTGTTGCTAATCAATATTACAGAAAGTTATTTTTCTTTTGTTCTTAATTCCCCTTCTAATATGTAATTATTTTGGTAATGCAAATCGCCCTCTGTAGGATACATAGTAATTCTGTGAAATGTGTGCAAATTAAACACTTCTTATGATGTGGAAAAACATCTGCCTCTGAATGAGTCATACTGGTCTGCATGGCGGCCTAACTTTATAACCCAGTGTCCTAACAGGGCTAATTTTCAATTCTGCATTACCATTTCAACCTATATTGCTTGACTTTTCTTATTTCAGACCTGGAGATTGCCTAGCTCTTTTTCTTTCCTGACAGCCTTAGAACTAAGGTAGAGAGGAAGGAAAAAAAGCTGTATGTCTCTCAGGGGAGCCAGATTCACTAGCAATCATTGCAGGTAGCAGTCAAATCTGTTTAGGTTCTTTGCATCACTTGAAATTTGTGATGAAGCTCAGTTTACACACCAGGTTTCCAGAAGATGCTAACAATGACCCCACAGCTCTGTGGATTCATTGCTGTTGTGGCAATGAGAGGAAAGAGGAGCAAACTGCATCCTTCCAATTTATTTATAAAAAGCAATGGAAATCTGCCCTCTTGCCGAGGCTTGAGAGGCGGCCCCAGGTCTAACCTGTGCTTTTGTTTCTACATTGGCCCCTGAATATGGGCAAGGGGGAAAAAAAGTTTCCATCTATTTAATGCTCTGAGGAACCAATAATTGCATCAGTAACACCAAGCCTTATAGAAACTCAGATTTTTAGTATGCTGAATTCTTTCATTTCTACATTTCAGATGTCAATGAAGGGGGCATAGCAAATTTAGGGTAAGATTTAACAAAAACAGCAGGAAGAAAAAATACTATGTGTATTTTTTTGTGCACTTTAACTAGTCTATAACTGACTGTTAACACGAGGCGCTCATCTTGTGACCACTATGCTGGTTCCCACCCCCCAGTGATCTACCTTGATTTTTTTCCTTGCAGGGATTTCCCGCCTTGCAGGATTGTCCCAGCTGCTCTGAAGCAGCAGCTGAACCACTATCATGGCAGGCAGGTTGCTCTGGTAAACTGGCAGCACCTCCACTTTTCCTTAATAAACACACCGTAATTTGTAAGTGGTTCAGTACCTGCTACAGGAACAGTTGAGTCATCCCTGTAGCCAAGGCATGAACCTCTAAAAACAGGGATGTGGGAACAATTATAGCTCTCCCATAGTAAACCGTACCTGCCAGTGAATCAGTACCCTGAGGCCCAAGTTTTCTCGCCTTTGCCCAAAAACTTGCTGTTGTTTGGCCTTAGTCCTGCAAGCTGCTTGTGAAGTTGCACTCCATCCGAGCACAAATCTCCCATGGTTAGCAGCTTGCAGGCTGGGTGCTTAAATCAGCTGAAAAATGACTGAAAAGAGAAGATCAAGTTAACGTACAAGGCCCTTAAAAAACCCTCCAAGTGACTGCCTCTTCTCCGTCTTCTTGAAGGAGGGTTCCTTTGAAGCATCTCCTCCGTTCTGGATGGAGGCGGTCTCGGCTGCTTGCTGCTCCCTGGAGTCTGGCTGCTCCCTGGTTTCCTGTTTGCTGCCTTTCTGCTTGCTCAGCTCCACTGTAGACTTCTTGTCTTTTGAACTCTCTTTGCTCTTTTGGCCCACAGGTTCACTTTCAGCTGGGACAACTGGCCTCTCTGTGGAGTTTAATGTCTAAAGCAGTTTCAAACAATGGTTATTTTTAGTGTGAAATGTAAACATTTTGGAAGGTGATCCATAAATATATTAAAAAATGAAAGGCCACCTGGCAGGGAGAATCCTGCTGTCCAACAGGTTTTCATTTACAGAGTTTGGGATGAACTCCTGCAGCCTTGACTTAGGGAAGGACTCCCAGGGAGCTCTTAGAACTACTTACATGAGCAAAGACTGCAAGATCAAACCATCCCTGCATAGACTTGCTTTATTTACGTATATGTCTATGCTGAAGCTGTTTTAGGAGGCAGAGAACACGCATGGAAAGATGCAGAGTCACAAGCATGCACTGCCAACTGAGACTCCCCCAGCTTTTGCATCCCAGGCTGTGAAAGCACCCAAAAAGTGCAAGGGAAAGATTTGGGAGAGAAAAGTAAAAGACACCATAAAGCAAAGGGCAAAACCAACTCCGCTATAAAACTGCAACACTCCACCAAAAAGTTAACAACGTAGGGTTTGGCTATGGAAGGCCACAGCATCATAGAAAATTTCACGTACAAGTGCAAAAGAAGAGATAGCAAGTATTCCAAAGAGAAACACAATGACAGACCACCTATTTATAGTAAAGGAAAAGATTCTGAAACTCAGAGAAGTACGGGATATGTTTGAAGTTCACAGGAGAAAAATCAGATCTGGCAAATAAAGGATAAGACAATGAAGCTGTCACTGTTTGCAGAGTAGCAAATGAGTAGATGTGTTTTTGCTAGGAGATCTTTTTACAAATAGGATTTTCTTTTTTCTTATGCAAAAAATCATATTGCCTTATTTGTTAACATAACAGCACACAAGTTTGCCATGTTGAAAAGCTGGAAATCTTACATCTGCCCTCAGGGCACAGCCTAGAGCTTAATGCTGTGTAATTTTTCCAACTTTGGGGATTTTACCATTAATCTTGAAATATTTGGTATTCTTCTAAGGGCTTAGGGTTATACACTTACATGACAAGCTTAGCTTTCATTAAAAACAAACACATTTTTAGACACGATTTCAGAGAAAAACCTGAAAGCAGAAACTCCAGAGAAACAGAATGCAAATACACGTCTCATATCTACATTAAAAAAAAAACCTCAAGCCACTCTAATTTTGGGGAAACAAGAATGAGAGGGGGTAGCAATACTACCACTGGCCTTTTTCACTTGATTCACCTTTCTTCCCCACCTAATCTTAAAAAAAACCCCACATTTAAATTATAGAACTTGCAACTGTTTAATACATTCAGTCTTGACCAGTTAGCTTAAGCCCTCAACAAAATATGTGCTTGTATTTAACTATTTCCTTTTCCAAAGGACAGGCATACATGTGTATATATTTGCTTACATCTGGATTTGACTGCTTTTAGACTTAAAAAATACAGTCATGAAGCTAGTCTTTGCTCTAGTTCTGCAGGAGATATGTGAAGACAGCACATGAAATCTGGAGATGCAGGTGATCAGTAGCCCCATACACCACAGGCAGGCACTATCTGAGTATCAATATTTTATTAAAGCAGATTCAATAACCTCAGAGTACAGGAGAACTGTCGTCTGGGGCTGCACAGACACCACACACTACCTGCATCTTGTTCACCTTGCTTGCGGAGAGAGACCTGCTTGGGTGCGCTTCTGAGTGCCCAAATGATGCAGGAGCTCCCCCAGCACAAGGATGAACAGAATTTCATAAACCCAAATTTAATTCTGTCTCTTTCTTTCTGACTCATTTTAACTACCAGACGGGAAGCTCTCAGTTGCTGAACCCATCAGTTAGTTTGACAAGATCCTTCTTACTCTTGTTTGCCGTAGCTCACTTTTGAAATGTTTCTCTTTGGTACAGTTGCAAATGTTCACACTCAATTCAAAAATAACCACAGCACCCAAAATACAGCTATGAGACTGGATACATCTGAGTTCAAAGGTACCAGAACAACTTCTAACCTTTATTAACACTGTGTGAAATCTGTGGGTTTATTCTGCGGGTGTAAAATTAGAGTCGAATCTTTCTCACCACACGTGTTTGATTGTGTAGGTGCCTCATGGTTACAGTATTGCAGCCCAATCCAAACTGGATGCAACAGGACTATTTCTGTGAGCACGTGTGGGCCTTTGATGTTAGTCAAACAAAACACTTTAAAAAAATATTCATAATACATTTTCCAGGCAAAATAAGAAAAAAAATTCCAATCAGATAATCTCTTTGAGGTGTTTCATATTAACCTTGAAAGGCAGGAAATTGGCATATTTTATACTGATGGGAGCAGCTCAGGAAATACAAAGTGAAGCCTATGAATAATGAAACATGTTAACGTTTCTTATTCTAAAGGGTGATCTGCACCTGACAGATTGCTTTTTACTCTCTCAAAGTTAACAGTGCCACTGGAAAAAAAAAAAAAAAAGATTAACAGGTTAGTATTTTTCCCCATCACGTTACAGAAGACCTTAATCCAAGGCTGCTTTTTAAGTGCAAAAGGCAGACCCCTCAATTTCTGCAGATTTTGGATCAGTGTTGCAATGCATTTCTGTAGCATACAGAATGGCAGTGACGAAAAGCGAAGAAGAATCACAGCATTCCAGAGATGCGATAGCGTAATTTAAGGAGATCATTTCACAGAAATTCTAAAAAAGGAAAAAGTCAACAGCAGATACAGTCTTCCTTGAGCTCTTCTGTGTAATAAAACTGTGCTAATTTAGACCAGTGCAAGTGAGAGGAGAAGGAAGACTAATAAGTTGATTTAAAAAAATGGAAGGAAACTAGCTACTAATTAAAATAAAAAAAGTAGTTCCTAGACTGTAACTTTTAACTCACTTACCCAGATGATTTCACAAAGCTGCCATATGAAATAAGGAATAAATGTCACAAGACAAGACCTTCTATATTTGGGATGCTTTTAGAGAAATAATTCATAAAGAATAACCTTAGTATGATAGGGCATCATGAAAATAGGAAGAGTGATAAAATAATTTTACTATTAATTAAAAAAGGAAATAAAAAAGGAAATTCTGAAAGGTCAGTTTTCAATGCAACTTCAGTTTTGCTCTCAGGTTAAAGGAAACCCTGTGTCTACACACAGAACCTGTGTTTTATCTCTCATTACTGAATGTAATTATTCTGGATATCTTGACTTGCAACAGATGAAGGTTTGACTCTCAGAAAAGGTAACAGTATTTGTATTTCTAATGAAAATGTGATTTTTCTGAAGCATTTTTAAAGCCATAAAGAGTATAATGTAAAGGTCACATCCAAAGTTTTGATTTAGCTTTTATGAACACAGAATGAAAGAAATAAAAACAGAATAAGAAAAAATATTTTCACGGCTTTTGATAAATTGCAGTGAATGGTTTTCATTCTCACTTTAATTTCTCTTCTAGAGAGTTTCCACCTAAATGATCCTTTCCTCAGCAGACAAGTAAATCAACAAAGTAAAATTTATTCTAGCTGTGTTTATTTAGTTTCAGTGCCTAAGCCAAGGTACATGCAGAAAGTAAAATAATAGCAAGAGAGATAGGAATAAAATTGAACATAAAAACACTAGTTATTTTAAGACAAAGAACACACCTGGGAAAAAAGCATTTTTTAAAATCTGATAGTGACCTTTTCAAATCTTGTTTAATAGTATGAATAGTTAAAATAAATAGATAAGGAAAGAAATACGTAAAAATATGAAGCTCAGTGAGCACGTAGCACTTTTCTTTCAGCAATTTTTACATTTCGAAAGCTAGAGTTGTATGGAAGTAGGTGACAACAACCCATCACCAAAAGATGAAAAAATCCAGGCACTTACTTGGTGACTGGGGCTTGGGCCATTTACCTCTTCTGAACTGGTTGTCCCTCCATCACCCTTCCCTGACTAAAATAACAAAGGATTATAGGACTTCTAACTGGGTTCCTGTTTGAGGCATTAATTCAATATGAAAACACACGCGAATCAAAAAAGGCAATGTTTGATTTAAGGATACTCTTTACAACTCCAAAACAAACCCAGACATTTCAGAAACTCTACCAACGTTTTTTAAATACCCACATCTCCAAGGCAGATTTTTGCTAGTTCTTTTCTGTGTGAAGGGATTGTCTCTTGCAAGTCAGTTGCCCCAATAAGGCCTGAGAAATATGAATGAGGTCGCAGTGGACCACAGATCGTATCAGCCAGTAAACAAGACAGTGCTATCAGCCCTGCCGCTGTTGTTTTCTAGGAAAGAGCTTTTGCTTGCTTTTCAGAGACAAATCTGTCTTATAAGATCTAGTGGGACTTCCTTTCTATTTAACGATCGTACTAAGTACATATCCCATGAATAATTAAAAACCACTCAGCTTTATAGATATATTTTTATATTTTATCATCAGCATCCATTTTTCACCATTTTTGCTTTCCAGTTTATGCCTTCTCTCTATATACATCTAAGTAATGGCCCTTCTTGGTGCCCACTCTTCCCAGCCAGGGCAATCAGAGCAGGCCCTGAGGCTGTAAGCACAGGCAGGTCATTCAGAGCAAACCTTGACTCTGAAATACATTTTCCTGTTTCTATCTAGATTTAAAAACGAGAAAAACCAGTTTGACAAAACTAGCTCAATGAGTAAATATTACAAGATTTGGGACAATTAGATTAAGGTTTAGTTACAATTAGTAATAGAAAAGAAACAAAAGGAAGGGTATGTACAAGTTTAAATAAAAAGCGTATTAGAGAGTTCAACATAGTATTCTCTTGAGTACCATATAAGCCACAGAGCTTAGCAGTAAAGCATAAAATAAACTCCAGAATTTCAAAGTGCTCAAATTTAAATGTCATTTTTCATTGCACAGGTTCAATGAAAACAATGAAAGGATGTGACTTTTGTTCTAAAGATAGATCAGGCGGATTTGTGGTTTTCTGCAGCTTGTAGATTTGTTACTTGAAGCACAACAGTATCAGCTTGATCCTACGCGTGGTGTTATTGCAAGGACCTATTTCAGTCTCTGATTTTCCTATAAATCCACAGAAAATCAATATGTAGTAGCAGCATGATAGAAAACTAAACGACTCCAAGACAATTCATTACTTGTCACAAATTGTGGAAAAAATTCTCTTTCTGGAACATGCCGCTGCTCAATCTCTTGCATGTTTATGCTCGTGACTCTTTATCTGTGTAAGAGGTTGCAGAAACGGAGGAGAGGAAGCACAGTGTGGTCTGTCTTAACATTACAGGATAGAAACTCAGTCCAGAGCGTATGAAGATGTATTGTGATAAGATCTAGTTTGCATTTCTATTTCAGTACGTCTTTAAATGCCTTCAGAAAAAAAAAAAGAAGCTTGTGCTATACAGCAACCACTTTGTTACCTCCCCCCCAAAAAAAAACCAAACCAAAAACCCAACAAAACAGAAAAACAAGAAAAAACCCTGGTTTAGCCAACCTTTCGTAATCCATCTCTCTTTTTTTTTTTTTTTAACCAGAACATAAATAACAGAGTAAAGACCTTGAGGTCTTTGCCTAGACAAAGTTCCCTCTTGCCTTCAGTGAAACATATACGTAATGATCACAAGGGCTTCTCTCTAGAGCACTGCTGACCTCTTATCCTTGCCTTTGATCATTTAGGACTGCTGTTGCTGAAAGCTTCCTGAAAGGGTTTTCTGCTTTCTGTGGCAATAAGGGTGGATCAGCATATCTTTAAATGGAGGAGGGTGGGGACAGGCAATAGACTTGCTACATTTTCATGAACAACAAGGGAAAATTAAGATGGGACAACATAAAATAGTTATTCTTGGTTCTAAATGCTATTTATTATGTAAAAGTTTATTTACGTGAGGAAGTAGGCCAGCACAGACACTGCAGACAATTTGGAAATAATCTTTTTTGTTATTCCAGAAAGATATATTCTCCTTGGGAGCATCTTCATTAATCCACAAGTAGGACATTTTATTTGCAGAGACCATACTGGGTTTTATCGAGGAAGTCCTGCCACATTGCTTCCCACTGACAAGCACGGTTCGTTTCAGAGACCATAAGTACCTGTGCTTGTTAAGATCCTATCTTATGAGAATTCACAGCTCGCTCCATCTGCAGCAAGGCAGGAGGAGTGCTCCAAGAGGACCTGCTGGATGAGTCAGTGACCTGCATCACACGGATGGCACATTTTGTACAGGCTCTGATGCCGCTTCAAGGCATTTCCCACACCTCCAGGAGCCTCCTGCCCCAGTGTCACCTGTGGGAGGTGGAACACCATAAGGTACGTTTAGGCATTGGCTGAGGTTTGTCCAGATTTGCAAGTGAAAGAGGTTGAACAGATGCAACCACACGAAGACGACATTTTTATCCCCAGTACTTCAGGTAAGAGGTGCTAAGGATTGAGTTCCTCACACAGGTAGAAAGCACAAGAGGATGGTCTCATGTCAGGCCCTTTGCTGTGCTCCTCAAATGTACGTTCATGCTGTGGCCAGAGCTGCAGTGTAAACTCTTGTATGTCTGAGTTAGTTTTAAATTAACTAGCATTAGTATGAACAGCAGAGTAATGACGTTAGCATGAGGACTGGGGAGGCTGCAAATGGCAGCCCCCCAAAACGTGGAAATTAGTCTGCTCTGAGCTCCGCGGTGCCAGAATTAGGCCTCTACCAGGACGTGAGCTAGCTATTGCAAAGCTGGCTTGGGAATTCCTGCACTTTCTGCGGCTGTTACTGTAGGCTAGCCAGACCTCAAGAGAAAACTACAATGGAAACGGACCTTTTCCGAGTGGAAATTATACCTTCCAGTACACAGCCTGCCAGTATAGCTATTCTGAGCAAAAAGGCCCTATTAGACACCTCTACAGTACTGAGCTCTCAGCCCCACAGCACTGGAGCTTCCCCCACTTGTGAGAAAATCAAGCCTGTGTTGGAGTCTTAAACATTTCAAGCATTTCCAGGACTCACCACTAGTTCAAAAGGTTTACAGAAGCTAGTTGTTTAGCAGTGGCTTAAAATCCTTCTGTCTGCCTTAGGAATCAGAAATACCGATTGACCAGTCGGCACGAAGCTGTAGGGCAGCTACATAGCTCCGATTGCGTACAACAGCGTGGCAGTGATCCAGTAGTCCAAAAGCTATTCAGAGGAAACAGCCTGGGACATGCTTCAAGGACAATAAATATTTTAAAATAATCCACGATCTGTTTGGAAATTGATAGCCAGAAGTAGAGCAGATGAATACTAAAGGTTTCAAAGAGCTGCAAAACCAGTTACACGGTTAATACAGTTCTGTTTCCCATGTGGGTAAGATGTTTGCCTATGTACTAGTTCTGTCCTTCTAGGCCAAAATCTGGATTAAACCCCTGCCCTGATTAGAGCAGCGTTACATCTACCGCTTTTAACACAGCTCTGTTTTCATCCATGGTGACTAAGATGGAACAACTTTATTTTTTAATTAGTACTATTTTTTTGGGTAGGGCAACATGATTTGAAGTCATGGTTGCCACAGAGATCAGTGTTTGATATGCATTGCTCCTGAGTCACCTTCTGCATGCCTAGCATGTGCCATGGTGACGAGCCTCTACGCAGGATGACCACAAGTCCCCTTGGGTTTAGGAATAAGGTTGAGATTTTTCCAAACTGACTAATTTGGTAAAGTGTTATTTGGAATTAAAGGCACGTCAGGTGCACAATTCTTGGCTGATATCAAGAATTTTAGCTTAGATCTTCAAATACACCAGAGTAGCTATGTAGTAAAGTAACTCTGAAGAAGAAAAAGTAAATGCACCCATCATGGTTTGGGCTGAGGCTAATAAACAACTGAAAATAAAAGAAACACTGTAATTTTTTGGAAATACAAAAATAAATCAGGATTTGGGGTATCGCTTGTACCTTTTAGGCTCTGACTCATGAATTTTAACCGTTGACAATGTGACTGTTCACAGCTGTATGCACCAGCATGTACCTGAGAGCAGACAGTTCGGACAACCTGGGCTATTTATTACATTGTGTTACAAGAAACTACGTTCATTGCATTTTAATGTATAAGACACCCACACCATGTAGCTACCTGAAAATAAACCAGCACTGATTAAAAAATAGAAGTCTTTCATACAGATTTGCAAACCTTGCCAAAATAGATCAATTACTATACAAATCCTCAAGGCCCGCTACAATTCTAGTCAGAGAAGTGTTAGTTCTAGACTTGGATTATTTTCCTGGCCACTTTTCTAGACTCTTTTGAGGAATACTGTCCGGCTGTTGTTTGTACACAAATCCATCAGGACAGCTCTTCATACCTATAACCACAAGATGACGCCAGCCACATCACCACCTCAGTGGTTTCCTTCTTCCCTCCAGTCTTCTTCCAGGAAGGAGGATTAGATTCTACTTTGTGCCTTTCTTTTTTCCATCTAACGCACAACATCTTTGAAGGAGCAATTGTATCCTTTTACGTGCCAGTTTAGCTAACCTACATGAGCTGCCAAAAAAAGTTTCATTACTAAAAATATGACTCCCTGAAGCAAGCACAGGACTTCACAATGGTGCAGCGCGGGGACGTTTGATACTGCCGCGGCTAATAGGAGATGGCTTCCTCTAGGAGCATCTGCCCAGGTCCCACATCACCCATTGGAAGCGGTTTGTGAAGCTGAAGGCTTCCTCGGTGGCAACCGCGGACGCTGGATCACGCCCCTTGAACTGCCCCGTGCCAGCTCGGCGGGGGAAGAAGGGCCGAGGCGGAGCGCCCGGAGCCGGGAGGGCGAGGAGCTGGGGCAGCCCCAGGGCTGTTCCTGGGCGGGCCA